GATAGTTTTGAACACTGGCTGGTTATGTACTTGCTCAAATTATTTTGGATAATTTTTAACCCAAAAAAGTTACAGACTGCAGCTTTAAGTATATTTTATACTCTTATCTTAGCTTAAAAGAAGTACTAATAGCACACTTGAATAAACATTTTTTAGCAAATACTTGGTTAGCATTTGCCTTAGTGCAGCGAGCTTTCAGAACCCCTCCACCTTCCCCAGCTCCACCTGTAAAGATCTGCTAATTCATGTATAGTGTACATTATACAGCACCATGTCTTACTTGCTCACAGCAGAGTGCTTTGTATGCATTTGCATACAAGTCCCAAACTTGCTCTGCAGCACCAGCATTAATAACCAACAGCAGCAGCAGCAGCAGCAGCAGCAGAGTAGCAGATCTATTCCGCCAAGACCAAAAATATCTACATTTTCATTCCCATTACCATGCCAGACACTCAGAGACAGAGAGTTGTTTTTACTTTCTCCAATAACATTGCAGCTAAAATCCCAGCTCCCTCTTGAAGCTACCTCTTAAATACTTTATTTCAACGAATTGAAAAAGCTTGTCTGTAGAAACAACTGGTTACTTTTTATACCTCCACCACAGTCCAATGCACAGTCTCAGACTCCACATAAGAAATGCAAACAGTCATATTACTGCACCAAATGCAAGCTATTATTGACCATGCAGAATGTAGAACAACGTCTGTATATTTAACCTATTGAGCAGCATTCAATATTTGTCCCCTCTCAATGTTAAATGCAGTTTTCCTGCAGTAAATGAGGGGTTTGTGAAAGGTAAAGCTGTGTAGCTCAGCTCTGTCAGGGTCCTGGAAATGTTCTGTGCCAGGCTGCTGAATAATACATGTTTAAATGCTTCACGCAGAAGGACGACCCTGGTGTCCCTTCATCACGAGCCTCCTACAACCACATAATTACAAAGTGCCTATCACAGCAGCTGGGTCCAGCATAATAAAATGTTGTGCAGCATTAAACTGTGAGCAATTGTCTTTCCTGTGGAAAATATACTTTGGTCTGGCATTATCTCTGTATATTTCTACCAAGAAAACAAAAGGAGAAGAATTTGATTTTGCTTACTGTGTTCAATGTAAGGCCTACTCTATAGGGCCTTTGACACTTTAAAGAGATAGTTCATCCAAAATGTATAATTCATCATAAGTCATGATATACATAAATATCATTTCAAATCTGTAAGACTTTCTTCTGAGGAACACAAAAGAAGATTTAGATTTGAAATCTTTTTATGTTTAAAGGCATTGATTGGACTAACACAGCACGCTCAAAACAGTCTCTTCTTCACTCCAATTAATGCATTTTCCATCATTGTCTGACAATACATTTTTTTGCTCAAGCGGAAACAATAAACAGCACATGAAAGACTGTTTAAAGCGAACATTTAATGAGGAAAACACTGTTCAGTTTATGATTCAGTTTATGGTTCACTGTTGCTAAAAACCTGGCCATTCTAATACCGCTTTGTTTCACACTAATGTGCAACTGTCGGGTTCGGATGTAAATCCCATTCATTTTCTCCTTAGCGGAATTGATTTTGAACGATAACTTATGAACCTTTAAAGACAGTCCTTCTGTATGGCTGTTAATCGATGGTATATGCTTTTGTTCAAGTAAAAATATTTTAAATTAATATTTTTAACAATCGTTTTTTTTTAATCATTTTTAATTCGATTATATCATTCACAGTGCTTATTGGTTTGTACTTCTGTCCCTCACTAAAGCCGTCATGCACACAGTTTTGTACCTTTGTCTTTTTGTCCGATATTCATAATGTTGTGATTCACCTCGTAGCCGGTTTGTTTGGTTCACGGCTTAACTCTTAAACGGAGACTTAAAAATCCTATGCATGGGAAAAATAATCATTTAAAGCAGTGCTAAACCCCTTTTTAAAATTGCAAGTGTGAAACGTTTACCCAAATTTAAAAGCTGGGTTTAAAAGAAAATAAAGCCAGCTATGAAAACACTTTTTCACTGTCATATGCATTCAAAACAAAAGAGGATATGCACGGAAGAGTACAGGGTTCTTATTAAGTGCACATAGCATTGGCTATTATAATTCATCACTCAAAGCACATTGACTTTTTCAGTTGCTTGCACATGGCAACCGTTGTGGAAAATCATTGCAGGTTTCCTCTTGCAGGAGTCTCAAATATCTCCCCATCAGCAAAGATTCCTTCGCAGCACATTTGGGTGCTGTTCACTCTGCTGACTTTATGAGGATCAGCAAGCTGACCTTGACATCTGTTTTGTTGTCAGTTTCATTGTCAGAAGTAAAATGGGGCATTTCATGCAATCACCGGACTCATGACTCAGCAAGTACTGAGGAAGATGTTGTTGTCAATAAGCTTTATTGCAAAACTCTCAGATGAACAAATCAGTGGAAGTGACCACTTATATAATTTAAATGAAATGTAAAAAGTAAAAACTTTATACTGAGAATACTGTTCGTCTTGTTTTTAACAATACAGAGGAATATCATCTAGGATTTGCTGATATTTTTGGTTATCTAATACTCAGTCAGACCTTTCCTGTCAGAATATGTGTCACATGGTACTCGGTCAAGGCAAGCACTTGTAAGTTTCAAGATTGGACTACTGCAATTCCCTTCCCACCAGTAAGACTAAGCCTTTGCAGATGATCCAGAATGTGGATTCTCGAATAGTCTCAATCAGGCTAAGAGAACCCATGTCACACACCAGCTTATCTCACTCCACTGGCTCCCAGTTGTGGCCAGAATCAAATTTAAAGTTTTAACGCTGGCTTTCTGGACTACCACTGGAACAGCTCCTCCCTACCTCAACTCACTAAATGCATGCAAATGACTAAATGAGCAACGCCTTGTTGTTCCCTCACAACAGGGGAAAAAGTCACTCTCCAAAGCTTTAACCCTCTCTGTTCCTTCAGTATCTGGTGGAATGAGCTGCCAACCTCCACCTGAACTGCTGAGAACATCACATATTTCAAGAAGCAGGTGAAAGCACCTCCACAAGCTCTTAACCACCTTTCATGATTTATGGGGACATTAGACACAATGTTTTTTTTATACTCTACAAACTGTATATTCTATCCCCTAACCCTAACCTACCCATCACAGAAAACGTTCTGCTATTTTACATTTAAAAAAAAAAAAAAAAAATATCACTCAGTATGATTTATAAGCTGTTTTCCCTCATGCATGGGGACCAAAAAATGTCCTCACAAGGACTAGGATTTCGGATATTGCCATCTTTGTGGGGACATTTTGTCCCCATAATGTAGGTCCTCTGCATTTCTTCTCTTCTCAGCTTGTTTCCTAATCAAGTTGTCTAATAATCCTGGCATCGTGTAGCTATTTGATGAATGCTTTGTTCCTCTTTTGTAAGTCTCTGGATAAAATGCTACATGTAAATGTAATAGCCCATGCGCATCATATTTCACAAGTATGACCTTTATTTTATTAGAGACATTTTAACTATTGCAATGAACCTCTTTGCTCTTTTTAAACTTTGAGAAGGTACACAATAAGCAACCATGCAGTTTCACAGTTTACTGAGGTCAAAAAGTGCTTATTATGGTGTGACAGTCCATGAAATACAGCAGAGTAATAAAGGCGAGGCTGCCACTGACTGGTACAAGTCACAGAGAGCAAGCTGTTTGCATTCTTATTATCAGACAGTTTCATCAACACCTCAACTCTATCTCACACCTTGATAATAGATTCTTTCCCGGGGAAGAATTCAGTGTGGCACGTAGTTCAAAACTATTGAAGATGATTACCTTGTCAAAATGAATGAAAGTCATAATGTACCCTGAACAGATGTGAAATAACTGATTTGAGCAAAATGAAGTTCTACAGCACTGTGAGCAACACATGCTTTATTACATGAGTTGAGTTTTAGAATATGCATGTGTTTAACTCTACAAATATAATGTTGTTCTGAAACATCACTCAACATCTTGGGATTTATAAAGGAAAGGAGCCCTCTGGGTGTCGATTTGTTTAAATAAATCAAAATAAACAGACAAATGCATTTATCAAATATGGCAATTTGCTTAATGGGTTTAGACAGAGCTGGCGTTTCTCTTTTTTTTGGATGCAAATGACTGGCAGCATCATATATTCAGTGTTGCTCCAGGATATGAGCTCAGTCATTTTACAGGAAACTCCTACACTCTCTGTCTCTTTGTTCTGGAGAGACATGATTACTGTTGATATAAATCACTGAGCACCAATGAATACTTAGCACTGCTTTCAAATCCATTTTATTGTTTACTGCACACACTTCTTTGGAAAGGATATAGTCCAGTCATGATGTGAACTGATTGGAATACACTGTAGCAGTTCTCCAGATCATTGAAGCTTGAGTACATTTTTTTTAATTCATATAAACCATATTAATCATTGATTTTGTAATACAACTAGTAACTGAATATTTTAATGGATCTTTATTAGATTTTTTTTTATCTTTATGAGGTTATACTTTTTTTTTTTTACCAAACAAACCATCATACAAAGCAACTCTGTATCATCCTTAGCCTATGTCAGAAACGTCAACAAAATTAGCATACCATTAATTCATTAGGCTACCATTTATTCAGTTTATTACCCCTCGCCCAATAACTATATAAAAATCAACTATATTGTATTCAATGAAATGTATGCATAACTAGCCTCTGTGGAACAACAGTGTCATCTACAGATGAGTTAGTGTAAGAACATTTTACCTGGAAATTTTAAATTCAGTAATACAATATTTCACAGGTTCATCTTTTCATCTGTGTTTACAACATAACATGTGCACGTATAAAATTAAGAGAAAATGAGATAAAAATGAACACAGTAACTAAAGAGAGTTCCATTTAAAACAAGTCTTCATTTTATTTTAAAAATTGCGAAACAAAAAAACAGTTTCACGTCTTTGCCTGCAGGGGCGCGCGCTGGTCTCGTGAAAGCGGAAGTTGGTTTAGGCTGATTTGAACACGCGTAACTTCCGTTCAGTGTGGTTCAAAAAATATTTGCACTCTTTTTTTTATCTGGTAAAGCAGGGCTAATCTTTTGTCCGAGGCGGCCGTGTTAGTGATCCGGTATGGACATCCAGAGTAAGTTTTCGTGCTTTACTTAAGTCCTGTGTTTGTATGTGGATGTCTTTGATACGTTTGTAGAAACGTGCGTAATTGTGGCTGTGCTAATATGACCAGTAACGTTAGCTAAAGGCATGTGTTTTATCAGCATTATAACAACTAATGGAATATCTGTATGCGGGTATTTCATATTTATTGTAAAGTTGCAAACCTTTGAAAGTGCCTCTTGAATGATTTGCGTTTATTTGTTTATGTGCCCGATTTGCCGCATTTTGCAGTTACTTGCAAAAATGGATTCTAGATAATAGTTTGCAGGAAGTTTTTTAAACACACTTTATGATGTCTCATAACAGGTATTGAGCCAATGACACTTGGCTCCCCAACCTCCCCCAAGCCTGGTGCTCAGTTTTTACCCGGGTTTCTGATGGGAGACCTGCCTGCTCCTGTCACACCTCAACCCAGGTCTTTTGGGTTGACAGGAGGTGGGGCAGAAACAAGGTCTCCTCTTCTGGCTGGTAAACACCTATTATTCTTCGTTGTGTTTTGCTTATACCATAAAGAATTCCTACTCCCCTTTTAAACATGGCATAGAAGTTACTTGGTAAGAGATTTGATCCTCTCTTCCATCAGGTGGTTCTCCTCCACAGCCAGTGGTCCCAACACCTAAAGACAAGAGTGGAGCCCCTCCAGTCAGAAGCATCTACGATGACCTCAACGGCTCCGGTGTGGGAATGTCACCTCTTGCAGCTCGCAAACAAGTGAGAAGTGCATACAAACTTATAGATTTTAATTTAAGTCTGCAGCACATGTCCTTACAGAAGAACATGGAGAGACATTCAAATGTATTTATCCTATATATTTTTTAGGGGTGTGACGATATTTGAACCGAACCGAAAAACCGCGATACACCACCCACGATACGTATCGCGATACTCTCATGGCGAACCGAACACGCCCCGCCCCCTGCGGCCCCGCCCAGCCCCGGCTCATTGCACCTCATGTGTTATGTGTACACAACGAATACAGGGCTGTTGCCTAACCACCATTAACCACATATAATCGCAATAAGCTCAGTGTTTTGTTACTTTTGATAATAAGCAAGGTGTAATCTTTCAAATTATGTCTATTTGATCACGAAATGCAAACAATAAATGCCGTTTAGGCGCTCTTAGATGTGGCGTGACAGATATCACTGTATGCATGCGGCAGCGCGGAGCGCGATCATCTCTTCCTCAGTTACAGAATAAACATGAATGGACACCCGAAGGTATGTTGAAAGATACAGTATACTTACTGAAAGGCATCATAACTCGTGTAAACACTCAATCAGTGTTTCAACAGCGGAAATACGTCAATAAAACGCTTAGTTTTTCACATAGCTTTATATTTACCTCAGGCAAGTCATTCAGTGTCCACAGCTTGCTGGTTTGCTAACTCTTTCACTAAATAAATGCTATATATTAGCCTATATATTATATTTTACTTAACCTGTTTATGATATCTTGATTATTTAATGTATGTTTAAAATAGTTGTCATGAAAATAACAGCAACTGTGTAAATTACTATATAAAAATAACAAATTAAAGTAAAAACATGTTAATGCAAAAATTGCCTTATGTGCAGTTTACATGTTTTCATACAATTTGTTATGTGAGTGTTGATTATTATTATATCATTTAGGCTAAAAGTCTAGGTTCTATTGTTAAGCTTTAATGTTATAGTAATGTTCAAGTAAGGGCTGTAGTTTACAGCATTAGCAGATAATTTTGTTATCCTTGAGAAACGTTTTCTTGTAATTGAATTAATTTAAAGACAAGGACACAATTTGTTCATTAAAGCACTGTTTAATAAAAAATAAAAGCAATTTTAGCTTTCTAAACCCCCCCACCCCACCGAAATGAACCGAACCGAACCGAGACCTCAAAACCGTGGGACGAACCGAACCGTCAGGTGTGTGTATCGTTACACCCCTAATATTTTTAAAGGGGTGGTTGATTATGATTTCACTTTTCTAACTTTAGTTAGTGTGTAATGTTGCTGTTTGAGCATAAACAACATCTGCAAAGTTACGACGTTCAAAGCAAAGGGAGATATTTTCCTTTAAAGAAAATGCTTTTTAAGTACTACCACAAACGGCTGGTAGGGACTACACAACATTTTCTCCTGGTTTAGTGACATCACTAACTCTAAAATTGACATAAACCCCGCCTCCGGGAACGCGATTTATAGATATTCATGACAGAACATGCTAATCAATGACTAGAAGATAACTACACATACGCTACATAAATTCACCTAACTATCAAACTAACCATTCAGAAATGTTGTCTACATGTTGTCACTTCTTCTTGAGTCTCTCCATCTTTCTGACTCCGGTTTGAACATAAAAGGCTACAGGTTTTTGAAATTTTCATTGCATGTCTGTTAGGGCTGTGTATTGGCAAGAATCTGGCGATACGATACGTATCGCGATACATGGGTCACGATTCAATATATTGCGATATATTTCGATACTGTGCATAAGGCGATATATTGCGATTTTTTTAAAGTAGGACTACAATTTTAGAAAGTATTATTTAAAAAAAAGACATGTGCATAAAATTCAAACAAGTTTACTTTAGATAAACAATTCAGTACACAGAAAATCAAACTGCCAGTTTGGGATTGTGGTTCACAGGTTCTTAGTGAGCAAATTTGTATATGCTCAAGTAGGCCTTAATAAAAGAAAATACATAGCCCCTGTCACAATACATAACATACACACATGTGTGCAATCTGAAAAAAGAAAAGACATCTGTCTATGTCAATAAAAATAAATAAATGCTTGCACTATTCCTAGTACACAGGGTACATCCAACACGTTTTGTGTTGCAAAAACACGAACACAATTCAAGTCAAGTCAAGTATATTTATATAGCGCTTTTCACAATTGTATCAAAGCTTCACAGTATAAATCAAAATAACATAACAATGTTTGTTTCTTAGTGGAAAAAACATCCACGTTAGGTAGGGCTGATCAATGGTATTAATGATTGGTTAATTAATTTGAATATCCCCAATTCCTAAAGGAAACATTGAGGAACAAATATATAAATAGTCAGTTAAAGAAAATACATAGCCCCTTACTGTGACATCTAGGATAATGCATAACACATAAGGTGCAATCTGAGGGGCAATCTGTCATTAAAAAAATGCTTGCACTATTATTCATACAGGGTACATCCAACACATACCGTAAAACTTCAAATAATAGCGAGTCCCACATAGACGCCGGTCTCTTTTACACGCCTGATGTGGCGAGTGGCGACAGGTTTGGGTAAATAAAGGCCAGTCTCAAATAGAGGCGGGGTCTGTTTTTTAGTTTCGGGTTGTATTTAATCTTTTAAAACCCGTCAAATCGTCCGCTTTTTAGCGGCTGCCAAAACAAATTTGTGTCCCGCCAAAGCCTTTTTTTATCGGTGAGTGATGTAGAATAGAAAGACTGCTGCGCTTGACAGGACGCAAACGAGCAGAGAGAGAGAGAGAGAGAGACAGAGAGAGAGCGCCCCGGCCGCGCGCGCGCACTCTCACGTCTTCAAACAACACGCGCGCTGTCTTGCTCTCTCTCCCTCGCGCATATTAATCAAAATCATAGACACTGTAGGCGAGGACACTAGTGGTGGGTCTCATTCTAGCCATCTAGTGGTAGGGATTTAAACACAACATAAACGCGAACCACGGCAATAGTATGAATATTTTTGCACGTAAACTAAAAAAAAAATCGATATTGCGTTTTTGAAAATCGATACAGTATTGCAAAATAAAATATCGCGATACTCAAGTGTATCGATTTTTTCTTACACCCCTAATGTCTGTGTGAGGTAATAAAAGCTGCTAGGGACACAAGTTGTTGTGGCTCTGCCCTCTGTGCCAGAAGCAGCAGCTCATTTGCATTTAAAGGGGTCATATAATGCCATTTTTGTACAAGCTAATATGATTCTTTAGGGCAGTGGTTTTCAAACTTTTTCAAGAGGGACCCTTTTTTTTTTTTTTTTTTTTTTTTTTAGGCGACCCATAGGCTTGTGCGCAGAATTTTTTTCTTTAACCTTTCTTTAAGCACTTTTTTTAACCACTTTACTTTTGATGATGCACGTGCACTTGCTGATCCTTGACGCGATTGCAACGCAAAGTCGATTCTGAAATAATTTGATCAAGCTATAGGCCTACATACAGGACTTTTAACCAATAAATAGCTTATCATTTGCTGAATGCTTAAAAAGTACAAATACACAAAACATATTCCACAACAAACTCTTTAAATGTAATATTAATTATATACAGAACAGAACAAGAATAAAAAAATAACAACTAAACAAGCCAAAACGAAATAATTTAAAGGGAAAGTAAAAGGGGCATTATGCTCACGTAGCCTAACTCTCTCATTAGAATCAAAATATTTTAACATTCGCAATGTATTTGATGGTAAACTATTCTTTATTATAGGCGTTGTAGCAACTTCACTCACGTTGCAATATCGACAGGAAAAAAAATCATCCTTTTCACATGCGCAAAAATGTGCTTGGAAACATCACGGTTGAGCGGTGCTTACGCTGAATGGTACGAATTGACTATTTAAACAGAGCAGTGTGATTTTTATATTAGGTTGACTATTTTATTGTCATATTTTTATTTCGGCTATAATGAACAGGCTGCGATGTCAAGCCTGGAATGGTGTGTGTGTGTGTGCGTGTGTGAGGCGCGGCACTGGGAACAAAAAATATACTCCGTCGTTCATACAGGACATCATTCAAACTGCAAAGTGTTTATTTATACTTGTGTACACTCGACACAACATTGTTAAAACACAACATTGTGGTTTTGTCACTGTAAACTCTTGTCAAACTTAACTGTCACCCAACCAAAATCACACACAATTTAAAAGCAAACTTATTTATAATTCAAATGAGAATAGGGCTGTCAACGAATATTCTAAATTCGAATAGGCCTATATCGAATAGTTTTAAAAAACAGAATTTCGAATGTGAAAATTAATATTTGAACAGGGCTCCAGACTAACTTTTTGCCTTGGTTGCACTGGTGCGCCTAACTTTTTTATTTAGGTGCACCAGCACAAAACTTAGGTGCACTCAAATTTTTCCTCGTCTCGCGTCGCCTTTAACGCCACAATTTCAAGGTCACCTTTTTATCACGCTCCATATATTCATATATATTATGTAAATGCTTTTAAACAAGAATAAGGTGTAGTTTTTTTTTTTTTTTTGGAAGCACAATTATACTGTATATAAAAATATAAATCTTTTAAAAAAAAAATTAAAGTGCTGTTTTTACATTGTTCAAGTTAGGGCAGGGTATTGACACTAATTTCACAATTCGATTCAATATTGATTATTTTGGATATCAGGTACAATACATGGCAAATTTTCTCAAGAAAAACAAATCTCAACTGCTGTAAACTGGGAGTCAGTTGTAGCCCACTATGCTTCATTAGCCTACTATAATATTGAAGGTAAAAATTACCTGATTTGTACACAAACACTTAAATTACACTTATTTTTTTTAGAATAATAAAGTTATATGAAATATAAACATTTAAATGGTGGCTGCATAAAAACTTGCCAGATTTTTTTTAAACATGCATTAAATATTGAAAAACATAAAAAATTATAATGAATATGTAATATGGTGCATATATTAGGCACAATGCTCCTCTAGAGTTAATTTTTCTAGCTAGCTAACGAGTTTATGGGCACTGGATATGTTTTTTCTGAGGTAAATGTGACGTTACATTACATTGTTTACAATTGTTTTACTGACGTCTTTCCACGGTTGAAACACTGATTGAGCGATTCCATGCGAAAGATACGGATTTCGATAAGTTGTACTCTATCTTTTAACACACTTTCAGATGCTCGTTCATGTTTATTTCGCGCTGTAACTGGTATTATAAAGGCAGAAGAGGAGATCATGTGCGCTCCGCGCTGCTGCTTCTCTGGGGCTGAGCTGAGCCAGAGCGATCTCACGCCACAGCGTCAAAACACTATTTATGTTTTTGAATTTCGTAAGAAAATGGACCTAATTTGAAATCTGAGACTTTGTTACATATCAATAGTAACAAAGCACAAAGATTATTGCGATTTATTGGATGGGATGCTCGCTACAATGTTCCATTCATTCATCAACTGAAAATAGCATAGCCCAACGGTTCGTAAAAATCAATGAGAATCGATTAAAATCGAGAAATCAATATTTTTTACCTAGTTCAAGTAGCCTACATTTTTAAAAGCTTCTTCGTCGTCTGTTTTCCTGCGTTTATTTAGCTGATGCTGCTGATTGCCGTAACAGATTCTCTGGTGCTCAGGTGACAGGTCGCAATTTATTTCAATCACACAGAACGGAGCATTTTAGTCCTACAGGAATATCTGAACCACAGCCAATCAGAGGCAAAGACCCGCCCAATCTCTATCTCTGATTGGTTTAGACCACGATATGATCCAACCATGCGTGCAAGGAGAACAAAAGACTCGTTTTGTGGAGAGGCAGCGGATGCGATCATGCGAGAACGTTAGGTGCACTGGTGCGACCTAGGAAAAATTCTTGTCGCACCCTTACAAATTTTGGTCGCATGTGCGACCAAATTGGTCGCACTCTAGAGCCCTGTTTGAATGTGGAAAAACACGCCCGCGGTATCAGAGGCGCGGCTGTCTGCTTTGCGAGTGGGCGCTGAGGGATCAGGGACAGGTCACAAGAGTCGCACTGGCACAGCTGAAAGTTTTTTATTTCTTATTCTTATTTATTGCATGAATAAGGTAGGTTAGATACAGCAGTTCCATGCATCGCAGGCTTCACTGGTTTGATTATTTACCGTTTCATGTCAAGGAAAAGTTCCATGTTTACCACAGCACAGCTCGCTCGGGGCGTTCAATGTCGGTTCTTTAAAACTTCAATTAATGTTAATAATATTTGTTTCAATCACTGAATGAAGCCTGCTATATTTGGGACAAGAGTCGCGACCTTAAATTGCTTGCACAAAACTCTTGATCAGCACTCAACATTTGTTTATCGTTGTTGTTGTTCATTTAAACCGTTATGGGCAGAGAGCGTGAGGTGAGGGAGAGAGAGAGAGCAAGAGTGCCTAGCGAGAGTGAGGTCTGCGGTCTTGGCCATTAGTTGATTTAGGCTACTTGTTTTTGTGTAGGTAATACGTTGTCAAATATGTTTAAACTTAAATAAACTACCTAAACAAGTAGTTATGTCTCTTTGTATTAATTTGACCTGTTATTGACGTAATGCGCGTCATTGACAAAATGCACAACCAGATGTTCGAATAGTTCGAATATAGCCTATGTGTTTTATTAGAGGGATTTTTTAGAACGTAATTTTTGAGTAGCCTAATTTTGACAGCCCTAGGAAGGAACGACGAGTGTTAGTGTGTTGTTGCCGATGGAGCGAACGTGTGTGTGTTGCGGGTGGAGCGAACGAGTGCGTGTTTTGTGTATATTAATGAGAAGGGCCTGCTTATTCTGCATAATCTGGTCCCAAGCCGGTTCGCAGGACGAGAGGGCAACACGCATGTCAGGAGAAGCATTCAGTTTGTTTCGTTGTTTCAAAGCTATTATTATTAATATTAATTTAATTAGAAAACGGAATTTTTTTTTTAAATCACTGGCGACCCATTTTTTAATTCTCGCGACCCGCCCGAGGGTCGCGACCCAGGGTTTGAAAACCACTGCTTTAGGGTCTAAATTAAAAGTTTGTAATATACTTTAATTAAAAATTCTCATTAGTATTGTAAGAAAACACTTATTTTACCTGGTCAAAAACAGCTCTGTTTTCAGCACGCCGTTTCAGTGTATATGACTTTAAATGATCATGAGCTTTGCTGACTCCGCCTCTCTGTTCTATGCGTACACCAGAGCCGGCTCTGGCGTACACTGTTTGTAACACAATAGCACAATAACCATAACGCGTTGTTCATTATAAACGTGGGATTATGCATTATATTGAGAACGTTATATTGAGAACGAGAAAACATGCCGTAATGTACCCTGAGTGTAAACCTTAGACGCATTCATTGTGAAGCGTGCAGCTAGCGATTTACAAGGATTAATATAAATATTAATATAAAGTTTAATAAAACGTTACACTCACTTCAGTTTTTCTGGAGCAGCTGCAGGAACACGAATAGATGGTACCGATCCTTTCAGGAGCAGCTTCTTAGCAAAACCAGCTTTATACCTCCTCGTTTATAAAGCAGTCTGGTGTGTGAAATGATTCGCGCAAACATGAGAGCATTGACGTTGCTCGTGGGGATTATTCCCTTCGAAAACAAACTCAGCCACTGCGTCTTCGGCGGTTCAGATTTAGGAACATTAAAATGACTGCTGTGTTCGTTATTGCACCCAAGAACAGAACACCACAATCGCTTAGACGCCATTCTGCTCATAGACAGTGCTCCAGCATATCAACAATGACTGCGCCGGTCCGCGCGGACTATGATTGACAGCTCCCTCATGAGCGAGGGCGGGTCTGTGTTGAAACCCTTCTGTCAATCAACAATCGTGGGAGGGGCGTGCGAGCTTGTGACGTCACAGGCTCGAACGGCTTGATTTGAGGCAGGGGAAAACATATAAGGAGATTAAAACAAAACCACTGGATGGATTTTTATCATTATATGATGGCTGTGTACAGACACTGCCAACACACATTTCAGTACAATCAACTTGTAAAAGTGCATGTACCATTATATGACCCCTTTAAAAGGGACAGACACAAAAACAGTGCGTTTTTGCTCACCCTCAACAACTTTAACATGCTATATAAAAATATCTGTGTGGTATTTTGAGCTAAAACTCCCACACACACTCTGGGGACATCAGAGATTTATTTTACATCTTGTGTAAAGGGCATTATACCACCCCTTTGTATTAGCTATTGGAATTTAATTATTGAATGAGCAATATTGAAAATAAATGATCAGCCCTAATCAGATATATCATGACAATTTGAGAATGTTATTTAAGAAATTTGGTAGTTAAAAGATACTGGGTTGGATTCACTAATAATTGCCTGGATTTTTCATATTTATACGTACAGGAGAACTTCTCATGATAAGTTCACTCCTAATTCACAACACGTGCATAATCTGCAAATGCATTTCACATGAACTTGTTCTTAACATTGTTCTAATGTTAATTAATTAGCAAATTAGCCCCACTTTCACCCATTCACAGGAGCTCAGAATACCTGATCCACTCGGTCAACTTTACTGTAGTACGAAAGTTATTAGTGAATATAATATTTTTTTTCCGTAAAAACGTTTGTACACTGGTTTCCTAATATAAGACCTAATGTTTTTAATATTATTGCACAGATTTAGCACTGAGAAGGGATTGAAAGCATTTTGTTAAGCAGAGTTTTACCTTCGCTTATTTTGCTTTTCACAGCCATTTGCTGGAGTGCACACACCATTGTCTGGTCTACCAGGGACACCAGGAACAGGTAAATATCATGTAATTTGATTTCTTACTAAATGAAGTTCCTGCAAAAAAATAGATTCTTAGTGTCTTTCTTGTTCTATAGTCTCTAGTTTGTTTAGCCCAGCGGGGCTGCAGATGAAAACAACACTTTCCCCAGCTCAAGTAGATCCGTTCTTCACACAAGGAGATGCTCTGTCCTCTGACGACCAGCTAGATGACACCTGGGTCACAGTGTTTGGGTGTGTGGGTTTAAAAATATTATTTTTCATTGTACTTTTTTCCCCTCCATAGTACTATTAAGTAATTCATCCTAGCACAAGTATGATGTCAGAGCTTATGCCATCGTTGTTGTATACATATGGCATACAATTCTTGTTTGTTTGTTTGTTTGTTTGTACACAGGTTCCCTCCAGCATCTGCTTCATACATCCTTTTACAGTTTGCACAGTATGGAAACATATTAAAACATGTAGTAAGTACAGGCCAGGTTTCATCATTGCAGTTTGGGTTATATATGATTGTAATCTGTAAAAATGTATGTTTCTTTTTTTATTTACAGATGTCTAATACTGGAAACTGGATGCATGTTCAGTATCAGTCTAAACTGCAAGCACGGAAAGCTCTCAGTAAAGATGGAAAGATATTTGGAGAAGCCATTATGATTGGTGTCAAACCATGTATTGATAAGGTAGAAGCACACAATAAATAATTTCCTTGTGAAAATTAGCAGTGGATGGAAGTGTTCCTGCATGTAATAATGTAACAGTAATAATGTTACGTTGTATTTATTTTTTTGGCAGAGTGTAATGGAAACCTCAGACAAGGGCAGTACTTCCAGTTCTGTGTTCACGCCCCCGGTGAAGGCTCGTGGGACCCCCAGTCACCCTGTATCAACTCCCCGATCTGTCATGAGACCCCTCAGTGCGGCTTACAAAGCATCCAGCAGTGACTACCAGGTATAGTTGAACAAATTCATTCATATAAATCTATCAAAAGCAGCTTTTAAGAAAATAAATGCATTTAATGATGCAAGGGTTTTGTGGAAAGAGGAGCAGTTTATCGCATTTGGGAGCAAAGGAGCATATTATTAAACTACTCAGATAAACTCAAATTCAGTGTTGATACTCTTGAAAGAGAGCTTGTTTCTAAAAGATGCGCAGAGACTGCAACACAGCTATTTGATTTGCTATCTTGCTCATTTCTTTCATTCATTCGTGTATCATATCGTGCAAGGTTTAAATAATTTAAATAGGCATGTAAAATAGTAGAGATGGTAACTCAGCTATTTAATTTGCTCTAGTTTCATTCATAGTTAACACACATTCACTTCACACCCTCATTATTGCGTAGTGATTTTAGAGGTTTATGTAGCCTATAATATTGTGCTATGCCTTGGCTCACCTGTTATCCAGCAAACATGAGGAGTGACTGTGTCTGACGAATATTTTTTCAATTATTCAGTAGAATTTATTAGTCGTTTTCAAGCCGTTATCCGTGCTGTTCCAAATACGGTATTCGGCATTGGGCACATCCCTATTTGTAACAGTATTTATTCATCTTGTTAATGTTAGTTAACTGTTCATTGTTAGTTTGTTAGCTCAGGTCCATTAAATAATATTAACAGCAGCGGTGGGAAGAGTATTGTAAAAGTACTTTCCAAAAAATGTAGTGTGAGTAGAGTAAAAGAAAAAACTATTTGAGTAAAAGTACTCATGAGTAGTGAGTACTGAGCTGTGGATTCTACCCCCTTATAATAAAAGCTTTACACTGCTATTTTGAAATGTAGATAATACTGTAATTGACATTTCTCTTTTGCTGTTTTTCAGAAAGAATGAAGAATATCTAGACCCATCAACAGTTTTAATATTGTCTTTTAAAAATAAATCACTTATAACTGATAAAACATATCCCAAATGTACTTCCAAAACAACAGGAAAATGCTATTACAAATTAAAAGATGAAAGTAACTTTCAATACTCATCACCATTTTAATGAATAAAAAAATGGATTTAAAATCATTAGTAAGGCCTTAACACTGAGTGAGGTATTGTTGCACATAAAATATCAATGTTCAGAACAGTACAAAGAATAAAAAAAAAATTGCTGATTGTATGAAATGGATTAAAAAAAAAACTGTTTATAAATGAGCTGTAGTTTTATTGCATCGCGCTGACAGATGCAGTATAACGTGCATGGTTCATCCAATAGGTGCATACTGAATTTGATCCTCCAATTTCAGTACATTTATCCATGGTAAACTTTTTTCCACATTAAGCATTTTAGAATGTCCCCAACAAACTTTTTTTTACATACTAAACTCAAGATATAATGAGCTGCCCACTGTTGCAGGACACGCGCGAGGGAGAGGTGTGGCAGTGCAGATCGCGCGTCTCTAATATGTTCAAGTAAATAAATGGGAGTGGGAATTCCCCACATTATGAACATTCCACTTGCAGGAGTTAATAAATAGTAGTACAATAAATATTGTAAACACCTGCATCCTCGTGCCAAACTTTATGCCCTGTATATATATACAGATCATCTAGTAAGCCGAAATCCTATATTTACCGTAACATGTTTTTTTTTAAATTAGAGGAAGAATTAAATGCTGATATCTCAATTGAATTGATGCCTGAAGGTTGTCCTTCCACAGCAGCCATGATTAACAGCAGTTGGTTCAATCTACTGCTGTGGTTTAAGTTTTCTGTGCAATTTGATTTACTCTTGATGCATACAAATAAAATTGAAACAAGGATGTAATTGCAACGAATCAATTATTATTATTTTTTTTTAAATCTGTTTTGAGCTACATTCATGTGATTTGAAATCCTGTTCAAATCGTATTTCTGGAAATGATTCAGTCTGACTGCTCTGATCGGATTTCGCATGGTTTGTCACTTCTCACGCCATATAAAACGTAAACATGTCAGCCATTGTTATAGGAAACATGCTGAAAGTCACTACAGAAACAAGACTGTGATGTTGCAAAGTGCCGATCGAGCAGAAAATTACAATATAATTGAGATGTTGAATTTCTGCCGCTACATCAGAAGACGTAGTAGTCCAATGCGGCGGCTACACATTGTCATGTTGGCAATACAGATGTTGTTTTATGTACTACATGTTGCTGTTGTTTTGGGCATATCCTTACCAACGCATCATCATGCTTTGGAGGCCTATAGTCACGGAATCACTGCAAATGATATAAACTGTAAATTCAGCGTTTGAGAGGAAAATGTCAAAATGCTGACAGAAAACGTGACAACTTGAGTGAAGAAGAGACGGTTTCATTCTTACCTTTTATAATCCGAAATATCCATAAACTCGATAGTACAGTTGGATGCGCAATGCTAGAGCTTTTAAGTAAACAATCAATGACACTGACTCCACAAATATGCAAATAAGAACATTAACCCAGGGTTTAGGAATGTACAATGTGAAACGTCTACTTATGAATACCCGGGATTAATTGTTAATCATGGGTAAGTTATTAGCAGTGTGAAACGTGAAGCAATATAACTTAGGATTCCGTTTACCCGGGGTTTAGAATGACCCAGGATCAACTACTTCAAGTGTGAAAAGCCCTAGTGTGGACAGTCAATATTTTATATCAGATTCCTATCGGATACACAAATAATTGGATTTGTACTGACAGTGTGAACAGCCTAAGATTAGTAAATGCTTAACATGAACCAACAATGACAAACACTTGTGAACTAATGTAGTTAACTAATGCTAACAAATTGAACCTTATTGTAAAGTGTAGCCAATAAAAATTACATTAAAGTCTAAGTAACATCCTGTCGGCTGCAGAACCTGACGTAATTTGGGAATAATGTGCTACTCTTTCTATTTTGTAGTTTTCACACAACCGGGTGAACATGAGCTAATATATTTGTGATTTTAGTTTTTTCATTATGCCTTTTGTTCATGCAGTTTTGATATCTCAGCAATAGCAATTTGCAAAAAAATATTTTTCATATGATTTTGAATGACAGGAGTGGGGTAAGATGATGATAATATTTGGCTTATTATAATCTAGATTTACAAATGTTATTTAAATGGCTAATTACTGGATGAAACTTAAATGTGCTGTAAGGAACAACATTTTTCAAAGCATAATTTGTGAAGTACCTCCTTTTTGTTTTGTTCTGATTTATAGGTTGTGTCAGATCAACAGACACCAAAAAAGGATGACAGTTTTGTATCGAAAGCAATGGACTATATGTTTGGATGGTAATCTTTCACTCACAGGGTCATGATGAAAAAGCTCTGAGACCATCAACAACCTCTGATGTGTTGGCATTGCTCTAAAAAACTGACATTGGGTTTTTCTGAGCACAATCATTGAGTGAATACAAAAGCACTTTATCTCTACGTTTGCGGACTGTTTGACATTGCATGCTCTTTTGCTGAAGATGGACTCTTGAGTGTTTCACTTGGACTGCTTTCAGCTGCTGGGTTTGGAGTTGGTCCCTCAAGTCTGTCCTCAAAATCATACAGATTTAACAACTTAATTGTGTGCATTAAGTGTTTCAGGTTTTAAACTGGTAATTTAAGGAGCATATCATGACACACTCTCACGGGACCCTATTGTACAAATTCTGAAATTTTTACTTGACAGTTTGTGGTTATGGTCTGCTTTATTGATCTCATAAAAATATCATTGATTACATTCAGCATTTTGATACCAAGACCTTATTCTACGATATGACCACATTTTCATTGGGTTATATACATCTGTTTTTAGGTTATTGTGGGTTTTCACTAACTTTATCAATTATTTTAATAGGACAGATTGTCTGATTTTGAAAATGCCTTTTCCCTTTAATAAACATTGTCTGACTAGAAACTGCAGTTTGTTTTCTCTTATTTTTTAAATGTACACTAGGTAACTTTGTTTTTTTCTTAACAAGAAACAAAATTTAAAATAGTAAATGCATCATAATTCCTTTGTCCAAAGCGTGTTTTTGTCTTACCCTGATTCACTATGGTAAGCCTATTATAAGTGTAGTCCGTGCATCTCGTCATCTAGAGAAAAGTTGCTCCGGCCTCTTTGATGCGTGTGTGGGAGTGCGAGCGAGAAAGGTTGACATGATGGAGCACGATAAACCTCTAAACTTCGAGGAATCACCCGTTTTAAAATTAACACTGGCTTGGCTTTTTGGAGAACAGATAATTAAAAAGTTGTAAAAGCGAGACGGAGATGGCATTATTTTACTTAACAGGTGAGTAATGTATTTTATTGAACAGATAAATTGCCATGTGTAGCTCTCTAACGGAGTTCATTGTAAAGCATTATCTATTGTAAAGGGTAATATTCTTCCACACAGTCACGCAGAGCCGAAGCTCAACCAAAGCAAAATGCATTTTAAAATGCAAACGTGCCACGATTTTGAGTACTTAAGACTTGACTTGGCAAGTATTAGAATACTTGACTTTGACCTTTTCATACTCTTCATGTGGATGGATGCAGTGGGTTTGGAATGAAGCATTTAAAGTGTGAAGAGAATTTTTTTTTTTTTTGCAATTATCTTGTTTACAAAATGTAGAAAATTGAGAATTCGATCTGAATTGCCCTATTGATCAGTTTGACAGGAAGAGCAATTAACAATTACAATTCAAATTATCTTACTGTATGTAATGTGTGTAATATATATATATATATATATATATATATATATATATATATATATATATATATATATATATATATATATATATATATATACCGGTACACACACTCACCTAATGGATTATTAGGAACACCATACTAATACTGTGTTTGACACCCTTTCGCCTTCAGAACTGCCTTAATTCTACGTGGCATTGATTCAACAAGGTGCTGAAAGCATTCTTTAGAAATGTTGGCCCATATTGATAGGATAGCATCTTGCAGTTGATGGAGATTTGTGGGATGCACATCCAGGGGCCTGTTTCTTCATCCCGATCGTCCTGTGAAGATGAGCATTTGATTGAGCACATTTTATAATACTATTTGTCATAATTTCTGGTGTATTGAGTATTTACAACTGTCTGGGGTTCTGTTGGGACATGAGGCTCCAAAAGACATATATTACCATAAGAATCGGTTTGGAGCAACAAAAAAAACAACCCAAAGTAAAATATATGGAAATATCAAAAACAGCCTATATAAAAAATAATACATATGTAGACCTCTTATACATTTTATGAAGGCAATTGAATCTTCGGGAGTGACTGGCTCTGATGAAGTCCCTCAGCCATTGGCCTTCCAGCATTCAGGCTCAGGGCCATCTCCATCTCCTCTGCATCTTCATCTCCATCTCCTCTGCATCTTCATCTTCATCTGCTCTGCATCTCCATCTGCATCTTCATCTCCATCTCCTCTGCATCTCCATCTGCATCTTCATCTCCATCTCCTCTGCATCTTCATCTTCATCTGCTCTGCATCTCCATCTGCATCTTCATCTCCATCTCCTCTGCATCTTCATCTTCATCTCCTCTGCATCTTCATCTGCATCTTCATCTCCATCTCCTCTGCATCTCCTCTGCATCTTCATCTCCATCTCCTCTGCATCTTCATCTCCATCTCCTCTGCATCTTCATCTCCATCTCCTCTGCATCTCCATCTGCATCTTCATCTCCATCTCCTCTGCATCTTCATCTTCATCTCCTCTGGATCTTCATCTGCATCTGCATCTTCATCTCCATCTCCTCTGCATCTTCATCTTCATCTCCTCTGCATCTTCATCTTCATCTGCTCTGCATCTCCATCTGCATCTTCATCTCCATCTCCTCTTCATATTTATCTTCATCTCCTCTGGATCTTCATCTGCATCTTCATCTTCATCTTCATCTCCTCTGCATCTCCATCTGCATCTTCATCTGCTCTGCATCTCCATCTGCATCTTCATCTTCATCTGCTCTCCATCTGCATCTTCATCTCCATCTCCTCTTCATATTTATCTTCATCTCCTCTGGATCTTCATCTGCATCTGCATTTTCATCTCCATCTCCTCTGCATCTCCATCTGCATCTTCATCTTCATCTTCATCTCCTCTGCATCTTCATCTTCATCTCCTCTGCATCATCTGCATCTGCATCTTCATCTCCTCTGCATCTTCATCTCCTCTGAATCTTCATCTCCTCTGCATCTTCATCTCCTCTGCATCTTCATCTTCATCTCCTCTGCATCTTCATCTCCATCTGCTCTGCATCTTCATCTGCATCTGCATCTTCATCTTCATCTCCTCTGGATCTTCATCTGCATCTGCATCTTCATCTCCATCTGCATTTTCATCTCCATCTCCTCTGCATCTCCATCTGCATCTTCATCTTCATCTCCTCTGCATCTGCATCTTCATCTCCTCTGCATCTTCATCTCCTCTGCATCTTCATCTCCTCTGCATCTTCATCTCCTCTGCATCTGCATCTGCATCTGCATCTGCATCTTCATCTCCTCTGCATCTTCATCTCCTCTGCATCTTCATCTCCTCTGCATCTTCATCTTCATCTCCTCTGCATCTCCATCTTCTCTGCATCTCCATCTTCATCTCCTCTGCATCTTCATCTCCTCTGCATCTTCATCTTCATCTCCTCTGCATCTCCATCTTCATCTCCTCTGCATCTTCATCTCCATCTTTGTGAGCCTCTTCCTTCTTTCTGTTGGCTGAGAAGAAGTCAAATGAGAATGAATATTTGATTGTGTTAATTAGACATATGTCAAAAATGCTTTTGCACTGATAAACACTGGATGCTATTTAGTTATTTAATATGTCAAATGTTTGTAAAGTCAGGTAGCCTACATCCATTATATGCTCAAGGCTTACCTGATTGAATTATGTTTTAATATTTCATTTTCAGCTGCTGCCATGTTCTTTTAATGCCTGCAATTAAAATTAGGTTGAATAGCATACTGTTCTTCCAGTTTCACCTCTGATAACAGTTGGGTAAGTTACTCTAAAATAGTTATTAATTACTAACTACAAATGACATCTTCAACAGTGTAATTAGATTAATGTAATAATTACTATCTCTAGAAAGTATTGGTCTACTTATTACTAATTACTTTATAAATCCCATATCAACCTCAACCACTTGAACAATACAAAAAGAGACAAAACTGCACTTTTAATGCTTTCAAATTAACAATATACAATTGCATGAATTATTCTTGAATTGACCAAAGTGTGTAGAGGGAGAAGGTAACATTAAAAATATACCTTTTAAAAATGTTATGTTAAATCGACTATTGTTTTATACAGAATTGTTCTATGCAGTATTTAATGCAATGACATCATATTTAACTTTATATTACAGAAGAATTAAGAGTAATCCCTTTAATAAACTAAACTAATTACACCCAACACTGTATAACAGTAATTAAAATGTAAACTTACGCAATGACTCGAGCAACTATTTTCTCCCAAACTAACTCTCTCGATCGCCGCTGCTGCCGTGTTACTTAAAACATTTTTTTTTTGCGTACTGCTGGTGAGAAATATGCAGACCTCTTTTTGTCTGGCGCTGTTACCATGGTGACTCATAATATCTGCGCTCCATTGATAATGGCTTTTTATAGTTGTGGTGCACGCGCTTAACTCAGAGTCAGTCAACTTAGAGTTGATTGAACTTACTCATTTCAGCTGTTCTGTAACCGAAAACTCAGAGTTTCCCATCTCAGGGTAAGTCAACTCAGAGTTCAAGTTTTAACTCAGAGTTGGTTGAACCTCCTTATTGAAACGGGCCCCAGGGCACGAAGCTCCCGTTCCACCACATCCCAATGATGCTCTATTGGGTTGAGATCTGGTGACTGTGGGGGCCATTTTAGTACAGTGAACTCATTGTCATGTTCAAGAAACCAATTTGAAATGTTTCGAGCTTTGTGACATGGTGCATTATCCTGCTGGAAGTAGCCATCAGAGGATGGGTACATGGTGGCCATAAAGGAATGGACATGGTCAGAAACAATGCTCAGGTAGGCTGTGGCATTTAAACGATGCCCAATTGGCACTAAGGGGCCTAAAGTGTGCCAAGAAAACATCCCCCACACCATTACACCACCACCACCAGCCTGCACAGTGGTAACAAGGCATGATGGATCCATGTTCTCATTCTGTTTACGCCAAATTCTGACTCTACCATCTGAATGTCTCAACAGAAATCGAGACTCATCAGACCAGGCAACATTTTTCCAGTCTTCAACTGTCCAATTTTGGTGAGCTCTTGCAAATTGTAGCCTCTTTTTCCTATTTGTAGTGGAGATGAGTGGTACCCGGTGGGGTCTTCTGCTGTTGTAGCCCATCCGCCTCAAGGTTGTGCATGTTGTGGCTTCACAAATGCTTTGCTGCATACCTCGGTTGTAACGAGTGGTTATTTCAGTCAAAGTTGCTCTTCTATCAGCTTGAATCAGTCGGCCCATTCTCCTCTGACCTCTAGCATAAACAAGGCATTTTCGCCCACAGGACTGCCGCATACTGGATGTTTTTCCCTTTTCACACCATTCTTTGTAAACCCACCAGATACT